TATATATATATATATATATATATATATATATATATATATAATAATATAATATATATATACATATATATATAGTTTATATATATATATATATATATTATATATATATATATATAGTTTATATATATATATGTATATTTCTATAAATATATATGAATAGTTTATATATATATTATATATATATATATATATATATATATATATATATATATATATATATGTATATTTCTATATATACTATATGTTATATATATATATAATATATATATATATATATGTATATATATATGTATATATATATATGTATATATCTATGTATATATATTATATGATATAATATATGTATATATATTTATATATGTATATATATATATGTATATATATATATATGTATATATATATGTATATATATATATATGTATATATTATAAATAAATATATATAAATACATATATGTATATTGTATATGCATATGCGTATGCGTATGCGTATGCGTATGCGTATGCGTATTGCGTATGCGTATGCATATGCATATGCATATGCATATGTTATATGTATATGTATATGTATATTATATATTATATATATATAATAATATATATATATATATATATATATATATATATACATAAATGTATACATGTACATATATATAGGTATGCATGCATACACTCATGCTAATTTAGAAAAGAAATGTTCCTCTTTTCAGTTTTATAAAAATTCTCAATCAAACATTACAAGCATAAGTAGTAATTTCTTGTGTGATTCTTTTCTTTTCTTTTTTTCTTTTTTCTTATGGGTAGTCCATGATGTTTGTACACCTGTATGATATCCAGATAATACAGCTATTATCCTATCAGTTAGCAAGTTTTTATTTAACTGGAATTATGGACCTTACAAGGAATTTTGGTGAATAATGTATGGTGGTATTAAAACCAGTAATGTGATTTTTGGGGTGTTATCATTTTGGCTGTGGATAAGCAGCTGGATTTTATTGCTGTAATTTTATTATTATTATTGTTTTTTTTATTATTGTTATGATTTTTTTTATGATAAGACAGGAAATCATTTTATATAAAATGAGTTATGATTGCACAAGAAACACAATTTAGCTCAGCTTCTATGGCATTGGGCATTTGTTTTCTTTAATGCACGCCAATCGTTTGGTCTTCTGAATTAAGTTTGCCCGATTCAAGCATTGTGCTTTACCCCTTAACCACAACCTCCCAAAATGATGGCATGGGAAGGCTCCGAACCAGTGTCTTGCCTCAAGAAGGGCATTTGTACTTATGACTCCCTGGTTTTATGGATTTAAATAACACTTGCCCTTATTTTGGTTATATTTTGTTTTTTCTCATAATTTTTTGCCAGCTTGTAATTGACAGTGGCTCATTTTGTAAGGTCTTGGTTTGGGGAGGTTGAAAGTTGCACAAAGTGAAAAGGAGAGGAATTTATTTATCATGTTTGTTGCTGTTTATTTCACTATTTATATACAGATATATTGTGTGTTTTTGCGAGAGTTTATGTGCGTGTTTTCATGCGACTCACTCTGTGTGTGTGTGTGTGTGTGTGTGTGTGTGTGTGGTGTGGTGTGTGTGTGTGTGTGTGTGTGTGTGTGTGTGTGTGTGTGTGTGTGTGTGTACCCTGTGCTGTGTCTGTCTGTCTGTCTGTCTGTCTGTCTGTCTGTTGTCTGTCTGGTCTGTCTGTCTGTCTGTCTGTTCTTGTCTGTCTGTCTGTCTGTCTGTCTGTCTGTCTGTCTGTTCTCTCTCTCTTCTCTCTCTGTCTGCCTGACTGTCTGATTGTCTGACTGACTGTCTGACTGTTACTGACTGTCTGTCTCCCCATCTCCTCCTTCCTCCTCCTCCATGCCAATCCACTCCACTTCACGGCCCTTGCTCTCCTACTCTCCCTCTAATACCTGTTTCTCACCTTTTCCCTTTAATACCTGTTTCTCTCCCTCTCCCTCTCCCCCATTTTGCCATGTACCATATCCTCTTTATCTCTTTTTTATAGTATGTGTATATCTGATCATCTGTGCAAGTTGAATGTGCATATAACATATTACTTTCATGCAGTCGCTTCTTTAGGTTTTGTTTACTTAAAATGATTACATCACTTTCCCATCATATTCATGCCAGAGAACTACCTGTGTTGCCCAAGATGTTTTCACTGTATGAGATCAAAATAGTTTTTTGAAAGAGCTGTTAAATTTGTTAATCCTGAATATGATGATCATCACTTTCATTCTTTCTCTATGCTCTTAACAAAACTTATGCTTTACCAAGAGACCCATTCATATAAACTGCTTTCCTGCACCTGCTGGTTTCAAAGTTAGGTTTACCTCTGTTGTATTTTGGTGGTGAAACTGTGTATGATATGAGTGTTGTTATCGTCATGATTTATTATTACTATTATTATTGTAAATGAGTAAGTTTCTGTAAAGTAAAGATATAATTCCCTGTTGACAGAATAAAGTAAATTTTCTGTACCCTGCTGGCAGAGTAAAGTAAAATATCATATCCCAGATGGCAGTCCCTTGTCTTGTGTGTTTCTGTGCAGTGGCTCCTGTTTTACCTTAAAGCACAAGAGACAGCCCAGCAGCCCTTGTCTAAGTAATGTTCCCATTTTAGAGCTAGATTTTTAAATTCCTCTTAAGGAAAAGCTGACCTTTAGTCATGTACTTATGGTTTAAATAATTTTTATTAATTAGGATTGTTGTGTACATTACCTTCTAGCTTGTTGAAATAGTGAGTTTTTTTTTTTAAACAAACAAACAATGGAGACCATCTAGCTATTTGGTACAAAATGTTTAGAATATGTTAGCATCATAGTAACTGTGACTGTGGTTGTGGCATGTGGTTGGCCAGACGTTTAAGGCAGCTGGAGAGCCGCATGCTACAGCTGGTGCAGCCGTTGCCTGCCTCACTTTCTCGCCAGCTGAGCACCGCCAGCAACCCATGGTAACCTTGGCTTGTGTCAGATTCATCAGCTGGACTAAACCCTGTCTGTGTTAAGGTCCTCTCAGACTGGCCCCTGGTTCCTCATACCATGCCAGTGTAGCCATGTATATAGTTGTTTCTTAGCAACCAATAGAGTGAATGTAGCTTCCAGTGGCAGCAAAGATAGCTTTCTGGCATTGATTAGGCGTGACAATTAGACAACATGACCTCAGAGGCACGCCTGCAGTAGCTGCCCCTCTTTAACCCACCAGACTACATGGCTTTAACTTGCTCTCTATGTCTTTGATCATTGTCTCTTGATAACGAAGACCATTTTGGTGTGCCATGTAGTTCCTTTACCTCATTTTTTGGCGTCCTGGTTTTATGAGGTTTCTTTTGCAATTTACTAATATAAGATGTGATTGTCTTAGTTAATACAGTACTTTTATTACTCTTGGCAATTGGCAGTGCCTCCTCCCCTAAGATGTGTTTGTTCCTCTTGCAGTATTTATTTATTTATTATTTTAAAAATTCTTTCGATGTTCTGATATATTTAGCAGTTTGCATTTCATAACTTTTACAAATGACCTTACAAGCATGAGTGAATATAATGAATTTGTGTTTATATCAAGTGCTTAAGTAATTTTTAACCTTTTGTGTTATGATGTTTACATATTGTCTCTTGGCAAATATCAGTCATTTGTCTTTGTACAGTCAATATGTTTGCTAGTAATGAATACTTCAGTAGGTGTTGATAGGTTGAGATCCCTATTCAGTATATAAAAATATTAGTGTTATTCATCACTGTTATTCTATCAGTGTACTTATTTTCTTTTTCTTTTTATCTGTGTCATTTAAGTTGGAAAGCTCCTTGTATGGATTTCATATTCATTTCCTTGTCTGCAATATCAGCTGGTCATTTCAAGATGACATACATTTTTCAAGATGAAAGTAACTAATCCACTTCTGTGCCTCTCCCCAGAACTGACCGTCGTAGTAAGTTGATTTCTGGCCCAACCAATTTCAACCACATAAGCCATATGGGCCCTGGAGATAGCATAGAGATTCAGCGACTGGTTGACCTGCCCTCACGACTGAATGCTGCTGCTGATCAGAGAACACCCCATTCACAAACAGTCCATCCATAGGGTTAGTATGTTTGATGTTTGGGATTTTCTCATTCATCTCTTTATTTATTTATTATTATAATTAATTTTATTATCAATAGTTTTAAAGTGAAATCTTAGTGTGTTACTATTGAGAACATTATTAATGTATTGGATCTGGTTGTGTCACGGAAATCACAGTGCCGAAAATACTGGCAATGGGTTATGTAAGTAGCCAACATACCAGGCGGTGCAGTGCGTAGGCCGAGCGTGCGCAAACACCCATGAGCAGTGATAAGACTGTGCCTCCCATTTGCAAAATTATTTTGTGCAAACTTCTTTAGCCTTTTGCCATTTTCCAATATCCATATTTGTCTTTTGATTTGCTTTATCTAGATGGTAATAGCTTATTTTCCTTGTACAGACTCTATATCATCTCTCTGTGTAGTAAATAACTCAGTGCAAGAAAAAAAGAAGTATGGAACATTTGCTTCTTTGTGTTAGATATCTTATTTTTTCATAATTTTCAATTTTCTGTAATACAACCTGTGCCACTGGTCACAGTGTCCAGGAATAGGGTGCACAGCATGGAAATGTAACCTCCAGGAAGCTGACATTCTTCCAGTCATGGCTTTTGCACGTTACATTCCACATTCGTTTATAGATGGGAATAATGTTAAAGCCCCCTTTTAAGTGCCAAATGAATCAAATCACACATCAAGAGGGTTGTGCACTCGTTGCGAGTCTCTTCCATCACCCTGGCCTTTGCTCATGATGGCAAGTGCACGTCACCTGGCCTGCGGCCATTTTGCCCGATGATGGCTTGTTCACATCACCGGCCTTCAATCTAGCCTTCATCTAGACGTTTCCATGACGGGATTGTAGCTAATTTGGAGGATTTGTGCTTGTATTAGGTTACATTATGCATCATTGAATTTACCTTCCATTTTCTACCAAAATGCAGGTACGCAGCATGCTACAGACTAGTGGAAAAATTAGCCCCACCAAGATTACCACAGGGACCAGAACCACCGAGACGCTCTTCAGCCATCAACCACTCCCACAGCCACATTATTCTAATGTTCACAATGGTTAGTTGATTACATATATATAGCATCATTATTTTTAAAAATCTAACTGCTATTCCAAATTTAAAGAATGAGCTACAATGGTGGTGTATATAGATTGGCATATTTATATTACATTGCTATTTTCTTTGTGCAGTGATGAGTATATAATTTGTATTGTATATATACTTAGAATTTTACTAAAGAAATGGACTATGGCATTCCAGGTAGTGGCCCTCCTCCAATGCCAGGTTCTGGCCGCCGCCCAGGGATGCCCCCACTACCCCCCTCTGCAGCCCCACAACACTTGCCACCTCAGCGTTCACCTGAGGAGCCCCGGCACCAGATAATTCATCAACTACAGGAGGTAAGATAAGCGAAGAGAAACTCCTCCCAAGAATGTATGGCATAATAAACAGATTTTATGAAAAAGTAATTTATGTTGAGATGAATTGAGCGGAATATTGTTGAATTTTAGGCAAATATCAATATGATGATTGAATTAGAAATTTATTTGTTGCATTATATTTATGCATTTAGGAAGAACTATTACTATTTTCATGTAATGATTTTGACTGATGATATTTCTTTTCTTTCCTTCCCTATCCTTTCCCTCACAGCAGGAGTGTGGTGACACCTCCCCACGCCACTCCATTGCATCCAACACCAGCAGTAACCTCTCCTCTCCCCCTTCACCTGGCCGTCCCCCAGATCACCACTCATCATCCTATGACTCATAGGATTCGTTTGGCCTGGAGAGCGGCTATGAGCAGGGCACTCACAGGCTAGCAGTTATGGGCTGCTGCGACTGTTTCTTCATTGCAATTGCTTTTCAAAACATTATGGAATTAACTGCTCAAATGATGTCTAAAAATTTGTTCTCATTATGGATATGTACAATTTTAAAAACTTTTTTCTTTCTCTCTGACTTCCTATTTTTTAGCTAAAATAATTGAATATTTAATGAAAAACAGTGCTGCAACAACATTGTCACACTATGTAACCATAACACTATGATTTACACTTTTTTCACAAATCAAAATGAAGGGGAACCTTTCTTCTGAAGCTGTGAGTCTTGGTCCGTGTCAACTATTAGGGCACCAACTAATTCTATGATACTTAGTGGCAATACTTAATCAAACTGAAATGTGTTAATGATAAAAAGAAGTATCTCTATATAGGTTTATAATTCCTCTTAGATTACTTGTATGGTAGTTCATAAATTGTAAAACTGCCTGTCTCAGTAATTCATTCATAACTCAGATCGATGTAGGAAGACTTACCTTTTACAGGTGAATAAGAGGCCCTTAAATTTTTAGGTCCTGTTAAACAGCTGCTTAAGGAGTAGATAAGTGGTTGCTGCTGCTATCATGCAAGTAATGGTTAATAACATTGGCATATTCCTGAAGAGTTACAGCTTCGAAAATAGGCAGCTGGTGAAGCATTTCAGGCTACCTGTTGGTGCTTAGATTGTCCTGTAATATATATTGGAATAATGAATTTGAATTTTGAATAATACATCTGTTATATATGAGATCCTTTTTGTTAATGGTATATTGAAATTGGGTCATATCTATTGTTCCAAACATATTATAAATGGTTGTTTTTTTTTTCTTCAAAAGCCTCTGCTAGTCATTCTTTAACTATTAAGTGTTTGAATTCCAAGCCCAAAGAAACAGAATTTAAAAAGGAAAAAGCTAAATATTTAGTGAGTGTAAAAATTTGTTATGAGGCACAATTGTTAAAATTTAGGTGCTGTGAGGGCAAGCATTGTAGCAATACTTAATACCTTTACTGTGGTTGGAAGGATGAGTCACACCGGTGCAGTGTTCAGTGTGTTGGGCCGAATGTAGTGCTGTTGTAGTGTATATTGCAAGTGATCCCAGTCTTAGTGGGGTTGGAAAAACAGAGAGAACTTATTATGTAGGTGTAACTGAAGGTTAAATACAGTGTTTTGAATGTTCTTTATATTTTCCAGCAAAATATGACTTTATTGCTAAAAGTTGAGCTGGAAAAGCAGTGGCTGTATCCTCTATGCCTCTTCATGGTTTAATCCCTGGAACTTCTGCTGAAATTTGCTATTTCTTTAAAAATATATAAAAAATATAAAAGGAACAAGTAAAAGGGATTGCGGCTCAGGTGTGTGAAGGTGGAAATCTTAGACAATAGCTTAGTAAGTGGCTCTTCAAATAAAAAAATTGTGTGAATTACAGTGTCTATGCAGCAAACAAGCAGAAAGTGTTGACTCTTTAGCAGAAGATAGTTGGCTTGTGTTACTCCACCAATAACAATAAAAAAGAAAAGAAAAAAAAATAGCCTTTACTGTGGTAAAAATTCTTCCAGATCAATAAATCAGATACTCATTTCTTAAAACAGTGGAATTAAATAAGAAAATATATGTATACTGTATATATATTTGTTTTACATAGAAATTTCACTAAAGAGCAAAAAGGCACTGTGTGTGCATAATACAGCAGCTTGAAAATTGCATGATGGTAAACAACAGAAATCAGTGAGAGGTGAGACAGTGATAGGGATCCGTACAGCCACACCCATGGAATTACAGGACTGTTATTCAGAAACTGCTCCAGAAAGAACTTTATTTATACAATTCGCAGAGAATCATTCCTTGTCAGTGTGATCCAGAACTAGGTCTGACTTAAGGTTGTAATTGTGACACTTGGTAACTGAGCCAAAGGTTCTTGTGTGAGAAATTTCTATGTCTACAATTGCTGAGCCATTTTTGATTGTGTAATAAACAATGGCACAGATCCACTGAACTTTATCATAAATTATTTTGATAAATAGTTTTGTGTTAGGGGAGCTTGCCTTAGTGGTCCCTAGTTATGTGGTCAGGTCAGGAAATTGACCTCCTGACTGTTTGGTGTGGTTCTGGTGAAGATTCCAGGTAGAAAACATCGCTGCAGGATTGTCATGTGCCCACTTGTTTTAGGTTTTTAAGGCCCTTTGGTCAATAATTCAGATTTTGCCATAAGCTTTGAATTGCCTTGATATCATAATTGGGCTTTAGACATCACGATTCTTGAGCGATGGAATAATTTCTCAAACAGACTTTTAACCCCCTCCTTCCCTCATGATTCCAGCAGTTGATGTTGGTTCAGCTGTTGTTTTCCAACAGAGTATAGATATCAATAGAAATTGATTGATTGTTCAGGAATTTAGTAGCTGTCTGCAAGTATTATGATTAGTTGCTTATGTATAAAGCAATAATTTTTTAGTGTTCTTGCCAATCAATGTAGCAAATGCTGCTTCTGTTATCACTGACTTGGAAATCTTGTCAAGGGTATTTAAATTAATGTCCATTAATTTATTAGGCATTCAACTGTACTTCATACTTTTCATAAAAAAATACTTAAGCAATGTATGCTGTCACAAGTCTTATCAATATTTTTTTTTCTTTTTTGTAAGTACAATATTGTAAATATGTTACCCTAGTGATTCTGTTCAAGAAATTTATGAATTCTGACATTATGTAAATTCATATTTCAACTCTGTGTATTGTAGTTTGTAATTTATGATTTGAGAGGCCATGATATAATGGCCCTGTGTATACTAGCTTTTGTAAAATAGACATTTTTAGAAATATGGCAATATTACTATGGGTGAAAACTTAGGCGTTTGATTTTCTCCTTAATTTTTTCAGTTTGAGAAGGTATAGTTTAGCAAATAAAGAGCTTCTTGTATTATGTTAATTAATTTTTTTTTAGATTAATTATTTCATCTAAAGAACATTCATCATCAAGAACTGTCTGATCTCTGAATGGTTAAAATTACTTTTTTTTTGCCTCAATGCACTAATTACATTATATAACCTTTTGTTCTGATTAATTAGGCTGAGGTAAGGATCAGAATGTACAATAGGTGAATATTGACAAAAACAGCCTCATAAAAACCTCTGTAGCAATGAAAATAGAATGGGTAATACAATAATATTGAATGACACAATGATAAATGTAGACAAGCAGCCAATGCATAAGTGAGCAGGATGAAGAGGTAGATATATAGCTCAATCATAGAATACTGGCTTTGGAAGCAAGCAAGCAGCATTTGCATGCTGGACCAGTCAGTAGAAAGAAACTAGCTACACTATTATATCATCATCTGGCATAATATACATGTTGCTCAGTGGATATATCTACTGCATTCACTTGGAGATTCATACTAACATCAGAAGTTGGTTGTAAGATATTGTAAAATATTACTGCAATTTTTTTTTTTTTTTTTCTCTGTGGTCTGGCAACACTCAACAGCTAGAAACAAAAAACTGAAAACTTACAACAGCTTTACGAGAAGTGACGGAATGAAGAAAGGAAAACCAAAAAGTAAAATAAAGAATGAGAAATGCAAGTAGAGAAAAAGGATGAATAGCAACAACAGGAAATGAAAAAAAAGTAAAAGGATGAATGTAGGACGATCAGGATTGTCTACCCAGTTATTGTTTTTTCCATTGCTCAAGTTGGAGAATTCAACTTGAAATGAATGAATACAAAAAAAATGTCAATTAATTTATGCTTTTTACTCTCTACATATCTATTTTAGTGTCCAGTTTTATCAGTGCTACCAGATCATGTATGGGAGAAAAATTGGAAATTGTCTTAATATGTGAGCAATTCTCCTTACCATAAAAAACACACCACTACAAGAAAAGAGCCAAGCATTTCAACCCATGTATGATGTGATTTCTCATTGATATATTTATTTATTAAAAATTCCTGCCGTGTCAACATCGAAAGTCATCAGCGGCATATAAAAAATATAATAGGGTGAGGCTTGGGGTAGAAGCCCCAGGTAAGGATAGGTCATATAGCATTATGATAAGGTATTATGGCAAAAAGGTTAAAAATGAATTAATAATTAGGACAAAATAAGTTAAACAAGGGCTGCAGAGAGGGCTGTAGGTTTTTATGAGAGAAGATGGTTAATGGTTAAAAGCAAAATAAATGTGATAGACATCTGTCATATAGCACTATAGGAAAGTATAGTAAAAGGTGATGTCAGGTGATAGTTGCTATGCATCAACTATCTAGAGTAATGTTGGAAAGTTGAAGATGGGTAAGTTTGTTGATGAGGGAAAGGGTTATGGATATCAGCAATAACTTCAAGTGTGGAGAGAGCATAAGTTGTGGAATTTTGTGTCTCAAGCATATAGCTTTGAATGTCTTCCATAGTTTCTGCAGTGGAGTTGGTTGGAGAGTTTTGTGAGACAAAGGTTTTCTTTATGAGGGCGGGAAGAGGAGACTGGTGTCTGAAGAGTAAAGGTAAAGGTAAGTGGAGGTGAGTGTGCGGCAGGGGAAGAAGGGGTGCAACGTTTCGTCTGTCTACTGCAGGTAGTGCGGGAGGAAGAGGGGATGGTGTTGGGGCTGTAGTTGAGACTGGGTTGTCTGGATTTAGAGTGGCAAAAGAATTTGACTGGGGGAGGTCGAATGTAGAAGTGGAAGTGGTGGAAGTGGGGAAGTAAGTAGATATAGGGGAGGCTGTAGGAACATCTTGAGGTGGAGGGGGAGGGCAGAACAAGTGACATTACTGGAGTAGGAAGTATAAGAGTGAGACCATTTTTGTATCTGAGTTGCTACCTCAGACTCAAACTTGTAAGTGGGACAGCCTCTATAAAATACATTATGGGGCCGGCAGTTAGCACATGTGCGTGTTTGTGCAGGGCAGTTTGATCTGTTATGACCAGGTTGGGCACAGAGGGGGCATTGGTCTGTGGAGCGGCAGTGTTTGGCAGGAT